CGGTATTCCATCATATCTTGATTTAAATCTAATTTAAATTTCCATTTAAATTCTTACTTGCACCCCAATTTAGAACACCAATTAGCCTTAGCTTTACATCGCAACAATAGATAACGGTAGGTTGACATTGGTCTCTGTGGGTTCGACAATCTTTTATATTACTTTGATATTTTTGTGCACTTGCGGAGCATCAGTAGTCGAGACCCCCTACTGCTTGTTCAATTAACTCGTGTTCTGGAACTTACATGAAACATATCTCTTTCAAGATCCTAAACCTATTGAGGTAATCATCAATGCTCTCATCCACCTTCCTCTTCACACTGGATAATTCCTTATGGCTAATCTTACACTGCCTCATGTATAATTTCTCGTCAAAGGCCCTATCTAGCCGGGCCCATGTAAAAATGGAATTTGGGGGAAGGATGGTGAACCATGTAAAATCCTTCTTTGTCAATGAGTTTGGAAAATACTTAATTTTTCAGGTTCTCATTGTTGGCAAAATCACTAGCTTTGGTTTGGTATCGAGTGACGTGTTCGATGGTGGACTCATTAATGTCTCCTGCGAACTTGGTGACTTTTGGAACTTTCCATCCCCTGGGCAACTCTGTTTTCCTCACATATTCAAATAGAGAGGATATGTAATTGGGTCTGTGGAGGCCAACGTTAAGGCCATTCTGGACCAAAACGCGTTTGAAAATATTAGTAATGTTATCCTGTACCCCTATATTGTCCTGTCGGGCTTGTCTCAAGACTTGGTCGACATCTTGGTTAGGTTGCACTAAGACCACGTCTAGGCCTTCTGGCCTATGATTGTTTTCGACAACCCTATTTTCTCAGGGATTAGCCCACTGAGGAATGTTAGGCACTGGAGTCAGCGGCGTTGGTGGTGCCCTAAAAAAATCAACAATCCTACCCATTTTGTAGGTTAACTGTTGATAACTCCTAGTCGTGTTTTCTAGAAGATGAATAAACTTGTTGCTTATTGGTTGCGTAACCATATCATGGTTACTGTCATCCATTAATGGTCTCATGATTTGTAGAGAGTTACTTATCAAAGATAACACGCCCTATGGAGGGAATTACCCTATACCTCTTGGTGGTTGACCTAGTTAGCCAAAGATGTCCATGGTAGATGCTAAGGCCAAATATGGATTAAAGGGCGATGACATTGTCGTTGCATTATCTGAATATATTGACATAATAGAGTGTATCCTTGTCATCAGTGCAATTGGCATACCAAACAATTGTTCCTTATGAGGCATAAAAAACCTAAATAAGGAGACTTCTAGCCTCCCAGATGTTATAATTCCCTAGAAACATTCGGTACGATTGACTCTTGTGGTGATGAAATCCCCACATATGGCAGTATAAAATACATCACTTCTTGGCTAATGACAGTAGGCATCTCCCCGTCTGATGTCGAAGCCACATAATTGGCTATACTAGTAACCTTCGGTTGTCCTCCTGGGCTTGGAGTATTACTTTGGGAAGGATTTTGGTTTTTTCTAAACATACTGGAAAGATGCTTACCACTCCTCAAATGCATACAACACAAAAGACCACACAAATGGACGATACTATAAACTAAACGTATGACATAACGTTTATGCAAAAAATATTTGCAGAAAAGGGTCCCACTGGTTGTGCCAATTTGCTTACCGGTGTTTTTGGTAAACAATCACGAGTTTTAAAGTCTATGAGATTAACTCGAAAAATCTCCAAAGCAATTTGTGCAAATACTTTGTGTCAATACACGTGCATGTGAATTCAATGTAGCATAACATAAGACTTTAAATAAAGTCAAGTTTTGATAAATGATATGGTGAAAATGCAGTAAATTCCATTAAACAAAGTAAAAGGAAAAGTATAATGTTCTGTCAAAGGAAGCAAAAAAGACTTAAAAAGGGTATACGCAGACACATACATATTTCTCGCTCAACCATTTCACACTTTAACTCGGGTACTCCAGTGGTATAGAGAGTAATCTATGAAGCTTTGCGGCCCTGATCCTCATGTACAAGTCTTCTATTTATTCTATTTACTAAATAATCGTCGATGGCAGTTATGACCACTAGGGGATCTTTGCATTTTCCCCACGTTCGATCCTTCGGGTTTCCACTAGTGCGCTTACATGTTTTTCCTTTGATGTTATCTGCTTGTAATCCATGTTAAGTGGTGACCGTTTTTCCACTTCTTCACGATCTCTCGATGATAACTGCTCCAAAGTGTCGTCGACAATCTCTCTAAAAAACCCAAGATTTGTAAAAATCATTAAGTTTTTATACCACATTGTGTCGTCGACGACTCCTTTTGAGTGGAATGAGGGCTTCCATCGACCGCCCTTCTCGAGATTTTGAACATATTTCGCTATAATATGGGTCTCGGGGATTTCTCTCTAAGAGTCCTCCACACCATTTCTAATTGTATCGACGACTTGGTCGACCCTTTGTAATTGGCCTGTCGACCATCTGTAATTAATATTTCTTTAAGGATGTTTCATTAATGTTCTCATATCTTTATGAAGATATTTCATTCTTTATGATAATGTCTTTTGACATTCTTTGTTAACTTTCTAGTAGCTGAAAGTCTAAGTGTAACACTAGTAAAATGAGGTGAAAGTAAAAATTAATTAAGCCCCTCAGTTAAAGTAAAAAACTGACGTATAAACACAGTTTATTATCTTAGTTATTGATTAAAGCCAAGAGGTACGTTACGCGCTAGTTAGTTTTAAAAATAAAAATACGATGTTGTTAGGGATCGAACCACTGACCTTTTGCATTTTAACTTCGGCTTCATAAAACTGAGGGGTAAAGTTCCCACTTTTCATTCCACCCTTCGTTACTTCTACATTGTAACCGAGGTGAAATCCATTTCGCGACTGTCATTATATGTGCTATTTGTAGTAATGATCCTTTCCACAAAACGGTATGACCAAGTCTCAGATTTTATTGTTGAATGAGTTGTCCATTTCACTGATGTAAGTGGTATATGATCCCGATTTATAGTAATGATCCCGATTTCAAATAAACTTGAACATAATACGATCATTTGAATTTTGAGGTGGAGTGGTGCGCAGTGAAAAAAATGTTTTTGAAAAATCATATTTTGTAAGATTAATACACGCTCTACCATACACACTTGCTATGAGATGACCCATTTCAGGGAAGCGCTTTCATTTATCCCACAGTGTCGGTCCACTAATGTAAGGAACAAGCGATTTATAAATTGTATCAAAATTTTCTTTTTTCACGTATAAAATTTTGTATATGAGGTCTATATTTCCCACTTCTTTTGCATGTTATAGTCACAAATGCACCTCTTCTATCCAAACCATTGTCAGGCCTTTCGATTGCAACACCAAACCCCAGTTTGGATGCCTCCGTACAAATTCATTGAAGCATATATGATCACAAAATTCAAACTCTTTCTCATTTTTAAATTGGTTGTCAATATCTACATCCTTCACAACAACACCTTTGACATCCGGAGACACAGTATGTTTGAGAAAAATATCAGGGTGAACCATATCTAATGAAAACAATAACATAAATAACTCAAAAACTACTAAAACTGAAAATAGAGAGTTGGAACATGAAAACAGACAGCATATGGAGATGCATCTCTGGATGAATTCATATAGGATTCGGAGATACATCTCCGAATTAAACGAAAGTTTTTTTAGATACAAAACAAATTTAATGTGAGTAATAAGACTTGAAATAAATTATTTTTACTTGGAATTTCAATTTCTTTTGCTCATTTTGATGTGATGAAAACACAAGAATGAAGATTTGAAGTGAAAATATTGACTGAGAATGGAAAGATTTTTGAAAAGGGTTTGGAGTAAAAATGGGATATGGGTCTGATCATACAGGTACATGCTTTTATCAAATCCACATTTAATAATTCTGAAAATTTATGTACCTATATGATGTGACAAGTTTTCAAATTTTCGCTCTAAAGCTATGGAGTTGCATCTTTGGAAACTCCACTAAACTGCTAAATAATCAATAAAATGAATAAAAATGTTTAGAGATATATCTTTGGATTAAAATTTTGTTTTAGTAATGAATGGCACTGATTTGGTGCGTAATTCAGTAATGCAAAAGGTACATTCAGAGATATATATTCCAATAATTTTTATAGTGTTTTTCCACCACATATGATGGAATAAGAAATCTTTTTTTTTTATACTTGTGTTTATCCTATTGAATTCTAAGTTTTCAAACAAAATATCTAATCATAAAAAAATGGAGCATTTTTACCAAAAAAAAAATCGAACTTACTATAATAAAGGTATAATAATAGACGCTTCAAGTATTCACACGGCTTAAAACTTTTGAATCTGGTACTGAAGATTTCGATTACTTACCTAAAAGGTTGAACTACTTTAAATAAAACACTAGCAGCTCAACAATCGAATAAGGGTGGAAACATGTCCCCTTCCAGATCATCCCCACCCCAGCGATGAACTAAAATATAATCCTAACCCAAACAAACTGTGTCAAATCAATAGTTGCGGCTAGCGGGTCCATTGTGGTTAGGTTAGGTTATTGATTTTGATATAATACTAATGCCATCAATCAAGATATGCAAGGAAAAAGATCGAATGCTCTACTAATTTATTAGTATTATTATTACTTACACCACATGAACCACACAAGGTTGGATCTAATAGTGATGGTACATTCACACACAATGAACTCCACTTATATATAAATATCAACCACTCAATTTCTAGTCAAACCATAATTGAATACAAGGAATATTGTCTCATGATTGTGGAAGCATTAATGATGAAAAGCCAATGCATTTCTAAGAGATTTCACTAAAAAAACATATAACATCATTTACATTCTATACACTTACAGAGTACTGTGTTTACTTAGAAGCAAAACAAACCCTTTTAAGTAGCAAAATTAAAACTCCTATCAGGGAAGTAAAAGTAAGAAGAATTCAAAGGACATGAAAATTAAAAACCAATCAATCTCATTAATTAACTATGATTTTGCAGATTTAATAAAGCCATTGAAATTAGCACATTCAAACAAAGCTTTAGCAGTCATTTCCCTCTCAAACCTCCAAATATAGTTCAACCCAACAAGCAACTCAGTTATTGCAGCCTCAGTCTTGTCTTTGTTTGCAAAAAACAAAGTCTGCAGAAGCAAAACATTAGTCTTAGGCACCAGATTATGTTGCTCAAAGCTTCTTTCACTCTGCCACTTGATCATGTTATGTGCCAAAGGTGATAACCACCCTAATATCCTCCCTAAAGCATCCTTCCATTCACCAGCAAGAACGGGATCACTTGCACAAAACCCAATTCCTTTCAACCTAGTCCTCAGACCTGACCTTATGCTGCTAGGTAACATGCCATACAAATCATCCCTTGCATCCAAACCAATCAAATGAGGTGTCTTTATCATCTTCTCCAACACTATGATCAAGTTAGCATAGTGAAAAGCCAAAGCTGAAGCACCTAAAGTACTAGGAGGTGGTTTCAAAAGCTTGGAGTTAGACTCGAAAAACCCACTTCGAAAACGTTCTTTGATCTCTTCAACCTCTGAGATTTCCAATGACCCAGAAACGTATTCATGACAAGAATTGGGATTCTGATCAGAGGGATAAACGGTTGCAGAAGTTGACAAACTAGGTGACAAACAAGGCACAGAATGACCAATTCCAAAAACAACCTTAATCCTAGCTAAAACAGTGAAACAAAACCTCACAAGTAATAAAACAACACCATCAAAACTTCTACTCCACAAACACCTATCTTTCAGATCCTTCACCTCTTGTTTCTGCCAACAAATCTTCTGCTGAAGTTCATATATTTTCTGTTCTTTCCCAACACCCAAAGAACCTTCATTCCCTTCACTGCTACTATTACGACGATGATGATGGTTCAAATTCAAAGCTTTTCTGAACCCATTTTCCAAAACAGAAAGCTCCTCCATTTCACGGTGCAAAGCTGCCGTAAGCATCACGTAACGTTCCATTTTCCTAAACTTCGCTTCAATTTCCTTCGGGCCAGAAAGAACCCACCCGTTTGTATCACGGCCCGAATCAGCAAACTCGAGAAACGCCCGGTGAAAATCCCGAAGGCTATGATCCTCGCAACATTGACTGAGTCGGGTAACCGAGTTAGCAACGAGCCGAAGAGCCTCAGTAAACTCAGCGCAAGCGAGTCCGAGTAAGAACGATTCATCATTGGAGATAATCTTCCGAACACCTTCAAGCGTAACGGCGTCGTTTCGGATTCTCACGATGGTAACATCGGAGAGAGACTGATAAAGATGAAGAAGCTTGGACATAACTCCCGCGATCTCGAAGGCTAAAACGGCGACGTATCTTTTTGGTTTCTTGAGTGAAGTGGTTTTCTTCTTGAGAAGCTTCGGTGGAACAGAGTCGAAGCTGTTTGAAATGGCGGTTTTGACCTTGAAGAGGAGTGTTTCAAGAGCCATGAATGAGTCGATGTGTGTTGTTGGGTTTGAAAGGTTGAATCTAATCTATAGGTGAGAAATAATGAGCAGCATGTGTTTGTGAAAATGCCTAAGAGAGAAAAAAAGAATAATTGAAGAGTGGGGAGGTTTTGTTTTGGTGCTGTGAGAGAGATTGAAAATGTTGGGAGAGGCTCGTGGGGTGTTTGATGAAGAAAGATTGATATATACCGGAATTGTTGAGATAGGGAGAGAAAGAGAGAGGAGCAAGAAGTGACTGAGGCAAGTGCAAGTGAGTGAAGATGAATATAATAAAGTATTTAAAAGTTAAAAATATCACATGCAGTTGCAAGTAGGAAAGCGTGATAAATGGTGGAACACTATAGGTGTTTTCTTTTCACAACCGTTATACTAACGGTGACTAATTTAGTACAGGGTTCAATTATTCTAGAATTAATAGTTTTAATTAGAGTTGGTAATTGAATCCATCAAGAAAAATCTATCAAAAAAAATTCATTTATTAAAAAATCCATTCAATTCATTCATCACATAAAAATTAAATTAATGAATTGGATTAAATACATTCATTTATGAAATGATTCAATTCATCTAAAATATTTTAAAAATCCTATTTTTTTTATTAGATTTATTTTTTAAAAAAATAATTAAAAATAGATATTGAGAAAAGAATTTGTTTTTTTTTCAATAAAAAAATCCGAACTTTTTCAAAGAAAAAAATCTAATTTTTTTCTGAAAAAAAGTTTTGGTTTTTTTTTCCGAAAAAAATATCGATTTTTTTTTTCAAAAAAAGTTCTGTTTATTTTTCTAAAAAATCGGTTTTTCTTCCAAAATAAAAAACTAAAGATCGATTTTTTTTAAAAAAACAGATCAGTTTCGAAAAAAAAAACGAATTTTTTCCAAAAAAAAAATGATTTTTTTTCATAAAAAAACGACTTTTGTTTTTGGAAAAAAAATCGATATTTTTTAAATATTAAAATATTAATTTTTTTTCTTGAAAATACAAAAAAATCAATTTTTTTCATAAATATATTAAAAAATATATTTTTTAAAATATAAAAAATGAATTTTTCAAAAATAAAATAAAATTGATTTTTAAAAATAAAAAATATATGTTTATTTTTCAAAATAAAAAAAAAGTTGGATGGATGAATATCCATCCATTAAAAATATGTTAATGGATAGATTTGATGGGTTTTATTTTTAATGGATGGATTGGATTGAATAATTTTAAGAAAATTTTAGTGGATTGTTAATGGACTAATGTGTTGTTTTAATCCATCCATTAACAATTCAATCCATGTCCATCCAATTCATCCATTTTGCCACCCCTAATTTTAACTCCCTCTCAATCGTAATTGTAAAAATTCAATTATTCTCCTTCCTATCAAATCTTGCGTCAATGACACGATTTAAATAGTGTTTTTGGTAGGTCTTTTTCTCGTTTGAGACTCAGATGCTCTCTGGGCGCGTAGAAGGTTCGGTTTTGAAGTTTTAAGTTTTTTCTCGTTATGGGATTTGAAGTGCTGGATTGGGATTTGACCGTTTGATTTTAATTGACAGTTTAGATTGTTTAATCTGTAAATATGGGTGTTGCAGTCATTGCAGCAGATTCCCTTTGGGTACTTTTTTTTAATGAAGTTGTATGTGTTTGCTTTTTTCTATATAGCAATTGGTAAGAATTTTAATATTCTGATTCCTTTTTCATGTTTTTATAAATACTTTAAGATATGTAATATTTTTTTTATTAAAATAAACTCAATATGCATATCATTAATTAACAAATGTTTAATACAAATTTAATGAAATACGTCAAAACTGAGAATTAATCGTCTTAGTAAGAGAATGATCAACCATATTCGCTTGACGTCTAATGAACTTTACCTCAAAGTTAAAATTAACAAATAACACTGTTTTTATAGAATTAATAATACAATAAAACTCTGAACCACCATTGTGATTGGAGTGAATGGCTTGAACAACTAATTGAAAATCATTTTCAAGAACCACATTATCCAGATTCTATGCAATGGCTTCGTGGACTTCTTCTTTAAAGGCCAAAGTTTCAGCTTCATACACAGACATAATTCCTGGATTCCATGCCACACCTGCAGAAACAAAATTCCCAACGTGATCACGCACACACTAATCCCTATTAGAAGTGTCATTGTTGCTTTTGAACGTTGCATCTACATTACACTTCCACCAACCTTCCCTAAGTGGGCTCCAAGTAGAAAGAACCTGACAGTTATTATTCGGATCATGCACTTTTTGGACCAAAAATCATTCCTGCCACTTGTGGAAAGCTAACCACTCAAACTTAGGAGCTTCCTCGTATTCATTGTTCCAAAACTGATTATTCATATTCTTCCAAATCTTATCTAACATGACAACAAATCTACATGCATCCTTCCTATCCTCCTTACTACAAATATCGAATATAAGAGATTTAGCATTATGGAAATAATGTAATCGAGCATCAAGAATAATGGACAAACTTAATTGCTGCCCTCTAACAATGATTAATCTCACTACAACTAAAAAATAGGTGTCAATCATCTTCTAAATACTCGCAAAATTGACAAATAAAAGGACAAAGGACATGGTGTTGATGGAATCTAGCACGAGTCAGTAAACAATCCTTACAAATTCTCTACAAGAGATGCTTAACCTTTAGTAAAACTTTAATATTCTAGAAACTATTCCATATATTTATTTATACTTATTTATACTACTACATTTTTATACTATTATCATCTAAAATGATGCTTATTTAATATTCAAGAGAAAACTAATGCTTATTTATACTACTATCAATTAAAACACTCTTATCATTCATTATTGCTACCACTTATGTAAAAGACATTTATTATCTCATATGTTTTTAAATAAATTATTTATTTAATTGCTTTATATGAATTTAAAAATTTAAAAATTGATTAAAAAGAATAATTAATTTTTAAAATATTATTGTTGGAAATTTAACCACAATTTATGGAGAATTTCACTCAATCAATCTTGATCTCAAAATTGTTCCAGCTCACGTAATGACAATAAAAGAAAAGTTTATTTTAGAAAGAAAGAAAGATAGTAAACGTTGGAGAAGAAGAAGATGAGTAATTTTCTGTAGAGAACTCTCTGCCCACAAAATGTGGAAATTCTGTTATTTCACTTGCAACTGCAAATTGTGAATTACAAATATGATGAAATGAGATGAGATGTTTACAAAATAAGGTTCTCCCTATTTATAGATTTAGATTAGCTTGCACCATAAGGCAAATTCTAAACTATAAAATCCCAAAAATATCTAAACTAATATTTCTAAATCAAATCTGATTTTTCTAAATCAAATCTAATATTTCTAAAATAATGAATTACATATTTAACACACCACCTAATTCATTATGTCTAAATTATCTACATTTATCATAGACCTTAGCTTCTTGAACACTTTGACTGACACTCCATTCGTCATGATGTATGCAGTTTGATTCTCAGTTTTGTAGTGTTCCAAGTTCATCTTCCTTTCTTCTACCTATTCTCAAAGATAATGGAACCTCATTTCGATGTGCTTGCTACGACCGTGTACTATTGGATTCTTTGCCAAGTTGATAGCTGACATGCTGTCGATCTTCATGGTAATTGCTCCATGACTCTTCGTTGTGATCTCTTCGACCAGGTTCACCATCCAGGTTGCTTGACATGCACAAAGAGAAGCAATTATATATTCTGCTTTGCATGATGACAATGCCACTATTGGCTCTTTTCTCAAACTCCAAAAAACTGGTGCACGACCTAACATAAACACATAACCACTTATGGATTTTCTATCCTCAACATCACTACACCAACTAGAGTCGGTGTATCCCACTAACTTGTATTCTTTTACTGCAGAAAAAAATTCCATAGTCGAGAGTCCCTTTCAAATACCTTAGTATCCTCTTCGCCGCTGCTAGGTGTGATACCTTCGGCTTCTGCATGAATCTACTTACCATACCCACACTGTATGCTAAGTCAGGCCTTGTGTGAAAAAGGTATCAAGTGACCCAATAAGTCTTCTATATTGGATTGGGTCGATATCATATTCATCTGAATCATTCGACAGTTGTAATCTGGTCTCAGTTGGAGTCGAAGTTGGGTTGCAATCTTGCATCTCAAATCTCTTGAGTATTTCACCTGCATATCTTCTTTGATGCATCATTAAACCTCTACTACTCTTGTAGAATTCGATGCCAAGGAAATATGAGAGATTTCCCAAGTCTGACATTTCAAACTCCTCACTCAAGTTATGTTTGATGTCTTCGATCTCCTTCTTGCAACTTCCTGTTATCAACAGGTCATCGACATAAAGGCATAGTATAAGAAGTTCACTACTGCTTCTTGTTACGTACACTCCATGCTCATTCGTACACTTCACAAATTCCTTATCCCTTAAGAAATTGTCGATTTTCTTATTCCAAGCTCTTGGAGCTTGCTTAAGTCCATACAAGGCTTTATGCAACCTGTACACCTTTCTTTCTTCACCTCATTTTACAAACACAACTGGTTGTGCAACATAAAATTCTTCATCTAAGGGGCCATTAAGGAATGCACACTTCACGTCCATCTAACATGTGTGCCAATTATTCATATTTGCTAGACCAACAACCAATCTGATTATTTCGATCCTAGCAACAAGTGCAAAAACATCGTCAAAGTCAATTCCTTCCTTTTGAAGAAATCCTTTCGCCACAAGAAAATGCCTCTATCACATCACTTTTCTTCTTGATGAGGTAAGTCCATAGCTTTCGACTATAATCATCTATCAACGTGCCAAAGTATATGTTGCCCGCAATCGAATCCACCTGGATTGGACCATATACATCTGAGTATATGACTTTCACCTTGATTCTTCTTCTTTTCTCGACATTCACTAAAATAGTGACCATACTTCTGACAATTGAAACACTGAATGTGAATTTTGTCAGGCTTTAGTCTACCACCTCTTCCTCTACCTGCAGGACCAC